GCAGCATGGGTTTTTATTTTCAGATGATTAATTTGAACTAAGAGACTCTAAGTTGTTTCAGCTTGAGCCCTGTGAACTATTTCAGTTGAAGGCCTTGGGTTTTTTTTTTCTTTAAGAGCTCTACGCCTGCAAGTAATAATTAGCTATTTGGCCTTGATTGGCTGGCAGGTTGTTTAATATCACCTTTCTTTAGAACTCACTCACCGGTCAGATCATGTGGGTCTGAGAGCTTGAAACCTTGTTGATGCTGGTACGTTTTGTCTGTTCGCTGTCACCATGAAGCAATTTGTTATTTTTTAATCATCTTTAATAAACTTTGTTGGGCTTCCCAAAAGCTGAAGTGTGGAGCAGTGTTGCTAATGGGAGACTCCCTCCCCTTTCTCAGAGCCGAACGGGAGACTGAAGAGGTGAGCCTTTAAAGAGCAGAGTGCTTTGAGTCCTGCCAAAGGTAGGCCTCGGCCACACGGGCAGGAAAATGCGGGGGGGGGGAGGCGTGGCTGTTTGCCCCGGAGCAAACGTAACGCGCAACTGCACAATCAGGCGTCAGATTGAGGTCCCGTCGAACTCCCGTGGTTAGGGGGGAGGTGCCGATCACAGGGCACGGCAAAGAAGCCGAGTGGGGCGGCAAACGGGGTTGTGGGGGTTTTTTAAACTGAAATGTGTGCATGCTCTGTTGGGTGCTTGTGCGCATCCGTGGACACTTGGAAAAAAAAACCCCTTTTTGCGAGGGGACATGGGCAGGCGGAACTACCACTGGAAACACGATCAGACGCCCGCCCTTGCCCCGCGGCTTCTGGAAACTAGTACCTCCAAGGTACTAGTTTTTTACCCCGCACCTGCGGCGGGAAGCCTCGGGTGCGCCACGGGAGCTCTACGCTTCCCAGATGTGGCGGTGAGATCGCGCCCGGAAAATCCGCCTGTCTTCCGTCTCTCTAGCGTGCCTAATGCGCCGTGTGACCAGGGCCTAAATAAGCTGCTCCTTGCCAACTTGAGGCCTGGAGCCCCTGCAGGAGAATCAAGAGAGAAGCTCCTGGTTCACACAGGATGCCAGCCTCCAGGTGGGGCCTGGGGAAGTGTGCTTGCACATGAAAGCTTATACTTTGAATACATCTTTGTTGGTCTTAAAGGTGCCACTGGACTCATACTTTGTTCCAATATTGTTGGGGTTGCCTAGCAAGTTACAAAATGGCACCTGAGAGCTAAGGGCATTCTTTTCTTAAACCTACAGGTGTTGTTTCTATTATTTTGGGGAGTTTTAATCCCCCAATGTATATTTCTTATATATTGTCCAGGGTCAGAGAGGCCTCACTCCTGAACTTACCTGGGCTGGCAGAAGCTCCCAGGCAGGCACCCTGCAGGACCACACCCTTTTTTCATGAGCCAAGGGCTGCCCCACCCGCACAAAATATTGTAAAAGGCAGGATAGCCAAGGAGCACAGGGAAGACCTCTGCAGTGAGAGAAAAGGTGTGGAGCAAGGAGCGAGGGAACATGGTGAGCCAGAACTTTCCTCTTCCCAGCGACTGAGGCTTTTTCTGCAGCCTGCCACTAAAGGATGCTGAAAGACACAGCAGTCCCAGGCTCCATCCCTTGGGAGTCAAAGCCAAAGTATATATTTCAGATGTTTCTACAAACTTGGGTGCGGCTGCCAATCTCAAGATGGTGGTGGAAATCCAAACAAAACATCCGTGACAAAAATAACAACGAGTCAATAAAGATATGTGTGCAAAATCATTTACTGTAGTAATTCTGTAGAAAATTATTTTCTATTATCGCTCACACGCAATGAATACTGCGCAATATAAACAAATTTGTTTCACAAGAATTGCTTTGTCTGAGCGTGTAGTGATCAGAATTCTTATCTAACCAAGTGTTGAAGGAAACATCCCATGTTGACGCTCTAATAACAGAACCCAAGGTCTTCACAATGAATTTTCTACAGAACTGCGTGGGAGATGCTCCTGGCCACGCCGCTCCTGCTGCTCCTCCTGCGCTGTCCAGAAGGAGGCTGCGCCTCCACCCCCGGGCCCTCGCTCGCCGCCAGCACCAGCCCCATGCCCCCCCGCCGCCCCCTAGCACATGCGCTTTCGAGCCCACACCTGCCTGCCTGGTGTAGGGCCCGAGACTGGCGCGCTTCTCCCTTCCAGTGTGCCTCTCTGGGGCAGGCAGCCGGACCAGGGCGGAAAGCGAAAGTGCGCCAATCTCTTCCTGGGTCCCCTTGCCGCTTCTTGTGGCTCAGTCCAGTCAGCCCAGGCTCGCCAGGCTTCCTGGCCGAGCGGCTAGGACAGATCGAGGGGTGGCTACAGCATGGAGCGCCCAACGACTTCACCAGGATGGTCTTCAGGCCCCGCCGGGAGGTTGGCATCTGCGCTCGTGTAGAGCGCAGGACACCTCGGGCCGGCCCTGACGGCTGTGCACATAAGTGCATACGTGCATGCAAAGTGGTAATGTGGATGCTGCAGAGCAGGACCAGTGCACTTCAAGGAGTGCTGTCTGATCACCCTTTCCCACAACAGTTTAAACCGGTCTGTTGGGTTCCAAGCATAAAAAACAACTCCACGTTGCAAAGCAAGTAAGGTTTATTTCAAAGCATTGGTGTAACCAGAACAGGACATTGTTAGGAATAACTACAGGTAACCAGGGCAGACATAATAAAGACATTTGAACCAGGGAAGGACCAATGGGTCCAATTCCCGCTGGCGGGAATAGACCATACAGTTCGCGCCCAATGCATGGGAACGCAACCGTTCTGAAATGTCAACACAGGTTCAGTTCACATGCAAGATACCCAAAACATTCTAGGCAAAGCTCTCCCCCTACACCCAGCTGCACGACCTTGGCAAGTTCAGCCGACTACATAACATAACATACTGAAGGAGGAAAGAAGGAGGGGGGAGGGCTGAAGGAAACTACACAGGAACCGGAATGACAATGGCAGCTAGCTGACACGGTCCTATTAGAGGCACGCCCAGATTGTGGCACTGGCAAGCCTCCAGTGTGACCGCAGCCTTAATGTATCAAAACTGTAACTGGGTGAATAGCATCCCATTAAGTCTCTATTAAAAAAAGTTAGGACATTTTTCCTCCAGGCAGATGGCAACATTAGATATTACAGATATTACGCATAATTCTTGATTGTCTAATTCAGTAGCTGTCTACATGTGTCATAAATATAAAATTAGCCATAGGGTGCGGTCACACACACCAAATAAAATGGGGGGGGGGGGGCCGAGGCTATTTCCTCTGGAGGAATTTGACCTGAGCTGCAAGATCACACCTCCCTTTGAAGCTGCGGGTGAAGCCCATCAGTATGTGATCAGACACAACAGCAGGTGAGTCGTGTGGGGGTTTTTTGTGCTGTTTGTTTCCCTTGTGCATAAACAAGGAATCAATTAATTGCACCTCCGCACTGAGGGCTCCCTATGGGGTTTGCGGTAATACGCATACTGCGAAGAGGGGGGACAATGGCATGGAGTCAGGATGGCCTGATCAGACCATATCGACGGCATGAGACGGGAATCAGAGCAATCAGACGGGAAAGTCCATCCATGGCCCATCGCAACCCATTTACTACCGGATTTTCCCTGGTGTCTTTTAACTCCGCTTCTGTGGTGGAGCAGAACAGGTTGCCAATGACTGTGGGACACTTCCCAAGATGTTGTTGTGTGCAATTGCACAGGTATGCTGTCAAAACAGTGGAGCAGTAACATGTTAACGTCCAAATATGATTTTTGTGTCCCTTGCTTTCTGTTTCAGAACCTAGAGGAACTGAGCTAAATCCTCCTGCCAGCCAGTGAACACAAAAGTTTCCATTACTTCTCATTCTCCGCAAATATATGCTTATCACCTTTTAGGATTAGAGGTTATGTGCTTTTTAGGGCTATCTAACACTCAGAAATCATTATTTGAAATCTTCTTTTAGCATGGAGAGTCAGTTTTTCAAAACAATTCACATGTTGAGTTTTATGCCTATAATACAATTACTAAAAGCAGTGGCTCTGCCCTGAACCCTAATTGTAAGGCTTACATCCAGTGCATTTGTTGTTGTTCAGTCGCACAAGCGAGTCCGACTGTTCGCGACCCTATGGACCAGCTCCCGCCAGGCCCTCCTGTCTTCCGCTGTCCTCTGAAGTTGGCTCAATTTCATGTTCGTTGCGCCGATGACACTGTCTAACCATCTCATCCTTTGCCGTCCCCGTCTTCTTTGACCTTCAATCTTTCCCAGCATCAGGGTCTTCTCCAGTGAGTGCTCCCTTCTCATTTGGTGGCCAAAGTATTTGAGCTTCAGTTTCATTATCTGGCATTCCAGGGAACAGTCAGGGTTGATTTCTTTTAGGATTGACTGATTTGATCTTCTTGCAGTCCAAGGGACTCTCAAGAGTCTTCTCCAACACCATAGTTCAAAAGAATCTATTCTTCGGCGCTCGGCCTTCCTTATAGTCCAACTCTCGCAGCCATACAATGCCAGTGCATTTACATGGGAGTAAATATCACTGAACTTCCGGGGAGTCTTATTTCTGAGTTAAAGTACGGCTTTGCCACGGGAGCAAAAACTAATCAGTTTGTGGAGGGACTATTCCTTCTGTGTGCCGGAATGTCCCAGGCTCAATCCCTGCTGTAAAGGATCAAGCGATATGAAAGACAAGTTCTTGCCACACACACACACACACACACCTGGAGAGCTGCAGCCAGTCAGACTAGATAACATTAACACAGAGAGTCCAGTCAACAGGAGGCCGGCTCAAGTACGGAGTATAAAAACGATTTCAACAGCAGCAGCGTGCCTTCTTGGCACCCATCCAGGTTTATGACGCATGCGTTCGTCAATCTGTTAATGTTTTTTTTTAAAAAACCCTAGGAATGATGACGTCACCAGAGAGACGGGTCTTTCTAGCGGCCGGGCCCGACAGCGGCGCGCGGGCCCGAGTCCCCAGCGTCAGGCTCCCGAGCGAGTCCCAGCAGTCGCTCTAACCGCCACGCCCTCTCTATGGTGAGGCGGGGCGGACGCACTGACGCGACTGCTCCTGGGGCGAGTCCCGTGATGGCCGGCGGTGGGGCAGTCGCCGCGGTCGCCTTTTCCTTTGCCGCTGTCCCGCCGCCGTCCCTCGAGCACAGCGCTGTCGCCATGGCCGAGGAAGAGAGCCTGGCGCCTCCCAGGGAAGGGTAAGTCCGAGGAGGAAGGCGTCTCGTCTCTCGCCTTGGGGGCTCCCCTCCCTGCCGCCCTCTCGCCTGATGTGCTCCTGCCCGGGGCTCTCAGGTGCCCGCGGAGGCTGCCTTCTGGGGAGAGAGGGAGGGGGTCCTCCGCGTCAGGGGTTCCCAGAGGCTCTTCCGCGGTCGCCGCAACCCCTGCCAGCGCCTGCCTGGCCCGTGCCGCGCGTTGGTGTGTCTGCCGTGTCCCTGCCTCACCTTGTTCAGAAGCGGACCCAAGTTTGCCACCCAGCGGGGATGCGGCTTCCCGGACAAGCGCTCCGGATGTTGAACACGAATGTCTGAGGGTGCATGTGAAGCATCTCGCGTGTGCAACGATTTATTGAATCTTATGAATTTTAACTTGGGGTGTTTGACTTTAACTTTAGCTGTGCATCGCCCTGTGTACGCAGGGAGTGGGCGGTTTATACATCAATAATATAAATAAATAAATAGGTACCTCTTACAGGACATTCTGTTTCCAGAAACGTTTTTCATGTTTTCCTTTGGCCCTGGATTTTAAAATGCTCCAGTACTTTGCTTTCCTTTGGGCAATAGTTAAGTGCCTAATGGTTACTTTAAGCATTTTTTTAAAACTTCCATTGACATTTTTAAAACATTCCATAAAGTTTTTGAAGTGGCTCAGTGTAAGTATTTTGTGTGCGTGTGTGTCTAGAACTGCACTGATGTGCCTTTTAACTTTGGCTGCACCTAGTGATTGCCTTCATCCTATGCATATTTGTTGGGTATATCTCCAGCTGCCCCCCCCCCCCCCGCCCCCCAGTGTTCTCTGTATTCTACTCGTCAGTCTACCGGTGTATATAACTTTTTTTGCACTTGCATATTTTTTGCTACATGTATTGTCCCTACATGTTCTCTCCAGTTTTCCGAACTAGATGGAGCTGAATTGGTATAAAATGGGAGGCATAAAAATATGGAGGGGGGTGTTGAACTCTTTTGCCGTTTATATATCACTTTCCCACCTTCTCAGATTGCTTCTCCCAGCTGTTTTTCTTGCAGTTGAGGTTATTCCTGGTCTTGGTGCTTCACTGGAAGAGATGGGCAGAGGTGGTTTGAGGAAGGGGACCAGTGGCCGGATGAGAGCAAGGTTCATTACGGCCTATCTCTGTTGTGCTTCAAGGTCTCCCCTTCCTCTTTTCCTGCTTTACAGAGATTTAGCAAGAACTGAAGTCAACTCTGTCATATGCATGAGTTTGGCATTAACTCTAGATGCCAATTCTTGTCCCCTTTCTAGGCACAGAGTAGGAAAGACCTTTCTAGTGGTTGCATACATTTTTCTGACCACATAATAATTGTCATATTAACTAGCCTATTTCATAAACACTGCTTATGATCTGGGTTCCAAAGCCATTCTGGCCTCTATCAATCTTTTCTCTATACAAACTTGTGCTGTTCTGTATTTTATGTCTGCATCCACACAACATTTGGTATTGGCTATAGAAAATACATTTACGAATTATTGCTGGGTGGATGTGGCTATTATGTTAGCGTAAGAGTCAGACTCGACTGTGTGACTGAACAACAAGAACAAAAACAGCCAGTGTTTGTACAGTTTGTGTACTTCTGATGTACAATATGTCCTAAAGAAGAGCTCTTAGCCATATTCTTTGACTTGAAAGCCTTGATTCCTGATGTGGGTTCCCAGTTGTCAGGGAAATATATTCCGCTTGTGCTCCAAAGTGTTCTCTTCTTTGTTATGATGCTACTTGTTGAAAGATGTTTGGAGGCTAAATGATAACATCTCCATCTGCCGTTCTTCCAATATATGCTTGGGTGTGGATTCTCTCAATAGTAATTCATATGATGTCTGGTATATAAAGATTAATGTTCCCACACAATATATTGTGCTGACTAAGGCAAATTATGCTGTTTTCCCCATAAGAGTCTTATCACAAAAAGTTCTAATGTGTTTCTTTCACCCTGGGTTATTACAGTGCATCAAGACTTTTCCTTTCTTTGCATAATAGGTAACCTCATGACATTTTTATTTTACTTTTAGCATTTTTACAATCACTCACAAACAAGGTTTTTGAGGTGACCCAATTCTGATGAGCGCTCCTTTGCCTCCAAGTGCCACAGTAGATACCTCAGCTCCAATGCTCCCTCTAAGCTGTGGAGTCTTGTGAGCAAAAATTCTACTTTTTGAGCTACTGGCATTAAAGTTGTGAGTGAGGTATTTGGCTACTGCATAGATTAGTTTGCTCTGGAGCCATCCTTCCTGAGCTAAGACAAAAAGTGTGTGAGCCAGAAGCTAAGAAACTGTGAGCTAGCTCACACTCAGAGGTCATTTCGGGGGGGGATTGCGGGGGATCGCAGTTCCCCTGGGTGAGGTACCGGGGGCGGAGCACACGATGAAGCCCCCCCTGCTTCCGGCCGCCCCGCTTCCGGCCCTCATTCAGCCAGGAGGAGGCAGGAGAAGAGGGAGGGTAAGTTGCTTCCTCCCCGCCTCTCCCCACCCCTGCCTGCCTGGGCCAGGGAGGGCCTTCGCGGGGCTTCCTTGCACTCCCGCCGGCCTTGCAGGTCCACCGCCGAGCCCCTGATGTCAGGGGGTGTGGCATATGCTAATGAGTCATGCTAATGAGTTCCCCTAGCTCTTTTTCTACGAAACTACCCCTGCTCACACTAATTCAGCTTAGAGGGAACACTGCTCAGCCCTCTTGATGACTCCCTTCCTCCCTCTTTTGTCTCTAGACCTAGCAGTTGCCTTCATCCTATGTATGCTGTCCACTTGGTACCCCTCCAGTTGTTCCCCCTTGCTCCACATAGTATTGTAAAAATTTGGATTTGTAAACCATCTTGAATTATGGGAAAGGTGTGGTGTAAGTAATTTAAAACAGATAAAAAGTACACTACTTCTGCTGTCCCCCATCTAATACCACCTTCTTGCTGTTGCATGTGTTGCCCCTCCACGCACCAGAGTTTTGTGTAATTTCATTGTCACGTTTCCCCTGTATATGTGGTGCGCGGAAGAATTTCTTCCTTCTTACATATGCAAGCCAATGCCTTTGTGCAGCTTAGCAGCTCTTGTATTCCACTACTTTCTGACCTGCTGTGGCCTTGGTAAACATCATATGTACCCGCTTCTTACACTTTCTGTTCCCGTCACTAAACAGTCCACCTCAATAAACATTTCTTATCATGGTTCCTCTGATCCTTTCTATCTGATCTCAGAACACATGTACACAAGCTTCTCACGATATATATCCTCCCACTGCACCCATTTCTCTCTCTCTCTTTATATGTAACCCTACAATTTACAAGCATTTTTATTCTCCTTTGCAACACCTTTTCTTGGAGATTACATCTTGCCTTAAGCCAGCTGATGCGACAACATTTGGAATGGGCCTCCTGGCAGATAGCTTAAACTCTTAGCTACTATGCCAGGGATCCCCCAGCTTGGTGTCCGTGCGTGCCAACATTTTTCCTGGTGCCCACCAAGTGTTGGTTTTTTTAGGAAATGGGCAGAGCCAGGTGGAGCTTTTGCTGAGTAAGGCTTCCGATTAGCCGTTGGAGATTTGATTGGCTGTGCAGATTTTTAAAGATGTTACTTTGGCAGCAGCTGCCACCACAGCACAAAGATCTTCACTGTGTGAGTGAAGATAGGCCATGGCAGCCATTTTGTGGCTGTTCCCACCATGCGGTGTCAGAATACCAAATGTGCCCACAGGCTCAAAAAGGTTGAGGACCCCTGCACTGTGCTATACCAGGTCAAAATGATTGCTTTGGGTGCTGGCATATAAACACAGTTTGGTACCTTTTAAATTTGTTCTGGGAAATTAATCAGCAAAGAGGCCTGTGTAGTACAAGTAGTACTGTACTGGGTAGTACGGGTATCACTTGACCCTTGTGTAATGTCATGTTGTATCACTCTGCTGCTTAGTCACTGTCACATGACCTCTTGAGTCTGCAGTTCCATAGACTAGCCAGTCATGCAACCAGTGCTGCCAGTTATTAATTGATCCAGGCCTGTCAGCTTAGTGTGTGACTTGCAAGCATCTTTTGTAAGATTAGCTCAGCCCATTGGGACGTTAAATTAGTCAGACTAATAAGCTTGGATGCAATGAGTGCATGATCCATTGAGTCCATACTCTCAAACTTTTCTACCCGTATAGCCTGTTTTTCCTATTGTGGAAGCCTGTGACTTCATTCTTCCTTTCTAAACTAGCAAATTCATTTGTTCAGAAGAACATTATCAAATAAAATAACCCTTCTGGAAATTCTTCTTGTTTTGATTTATAATGTAAATACTTAAACAATGCTAGCAAAATTGAAATAATTTTAGCAAGAGGAGGCAAATGCACCATGTACAAGCCTGGACTATGTGCAAGAACTGGAGTTTGTCCATGTTCCATATCCCACATATAACCCATCAATCATGATTGATTCACAGCATAATAGCCCTGACAACTGTAGATAGAGTATATTTACATATGTAGGGTAGATATTTTTCCATGGAGAAACATAGCACTGGGAGATTTTCTGCCCCGTATCACTGAATGGAAGTATGTGATGTTTGCAAGTGAGCATTTTTAACCAGGCGAATGCCTATGCCATGTGACATCTGATGTGGTACAGAATTGTGAAAGGACTGTACCTTGTATACATTCAGCATACGTTTATCCTTAGGCTGACTTCCCCACTACAGACAAGTGGTTGGTATGGATGAAGTAAACGCAGACCATCAGATCTGCTTTTGTTATTTGTTCGACCTTTATGAATGGAAAGCAATGCTATCTGAGGCATGACAGAAAAGAGCCAGCCAAGATGAAGCTGCATATCCTTATTTTGTATATATCTCCGTAAATCATGAATCTAGTTTGGGTTGGGTCTAAAGAACCATGGCTAGAGGGGAAATTGCCACTGGTATAGTTTGGCAAATGCTTGCAGCACTGTATTAGTGGAAGCAGAAGTATGTCTTTGGATTTAGCTTCACTTTTCAAGTTAGGGTGGTCAGT